CATCTTTCAGCTTACAATACTAGACACCGGCGCGTTTTTAACATGCCGCGCTTTCGCACTGATCGTTTTAAATCTTCATTTATCCCGGCTATGTGCGCGTGTGCTAACCTAGATTTTTAGCTATTCCACTGCTGTATATTAGTTATAGTTGTTATATTAGTAATTTTAGTTAGGTCTTAGCATTTTTGTAATTGGTTGTCTTATATAGTCTTATATAATCAAAGATTGTGAAAAGCACGCAATTCAGCCTATGGCTGCAATGTATTTTATTTGGTAATAAACTATCTAACTATCTATTTATCCATCTATCATATCTTGTAAGGCGGGGAGGTGGGGTAATCCAGACAAACTAACTCCTTCCCCTATCCTACCGAGTAACTGAAATGTGGGCTTGGCCGTGGAAGGTCTAGATACGAAACTAGGGTAGACCGTCGTAGCGCGAAATCTTAATTCGGCAGGAACCCGTCAGATTTTTCTTTGTAACACGCTAGTGACAGAGGTTCTGTCTCATTCTGCTTCATGTTGCTCCACTGAATTTCGAAATTGCTCTTAGAATACTTGCATAATTTATGCATTTTTTCCCGCCCTCTCTATGATGTTAGTGTCTCATGGGATAGCGTTCTTCCGGGTTTGCTAATACGTTACCACATAGTCCAGTAGTTCAACAAATATGTTGTCACGATATCATGGAAGTTTCGCGAGAGATATGTGATAAAGTGACTTGATTTTCACCTCTCAAAAAGGTATGAAGGATCGCTGAAAAGTTTCTTTAATTTATGACATATTTTACTTAGTTTCCTAATTGACTCTGTTACGATCATCGATGTACCCTGGTCCCAGAGGTTCTCTTCTCTCTCCCGGAGTACGAGAACCTCTGGGACCAGGGTATCATCGATGGAGCCTTCACTTCGAAATTGTTTCCAATCGCCAGCCGTAAGATTCCTCTTAAATCCTTTTTATGACACGCTTGTATTATAGAACTTTGTAAATAAGTGTAAGGTAGGCATTTAAGTGAAGGAGCTTTGTCATTTGTTCGAGCTGTGGATTAATTTCAAAATTGAGAAAATACGTGGACAAATATTCGGCACTTTCGAAGACATTTGTTTAGATTTAAACAATTGTGAGCAGCCGCTCCCAATGCTTAAATCGTTGCATAAATCATGAATATTTTGATACTCTGTCGTGATATCAAGTAATTTCCACGAGAGATGGGCGATCAAGTGAGTTGATTTTCACCTCTCGACAAGGTCAGAAAGATTGCTGAGAAGTTTCTTAAATTTAAGACGTTTTTCATTTAGCTTCTTATTTGACTCTGTTACGATCATCGATGGAGCCTTCACGTGCACTACGAAATTTTTTCCAATCGCCAGCCGTAAGATTTTTCCTAAATCCTTTTTATAACACGCTTGTATTGTAGAACTTTGTAAATAAGTATAGGGTAGTCATATTAGTAAAGGAACTTTGTCATTTGTTCGAAGCTTCGGCGTGATTTCAAGAATGAGAAAATAATTGGACGAACGTTCGACACTTTCAAATCCATTTTTTTTAGATTTAAACAATTGTGAATAGTCGCTCTCCACTGCATAAATCATTGCATAAATCATAAAACTTTTGATACTCTGGTCACTATTAGTCTACATTTCAATCGCCAGAGCTGTTTTTACTCAAGGCGGAGCAAGGTGAAGGAGATTGAAATTCTCTGATAATTTGCAGTACTTTACTTGGCACTGTAAGTGCGACGTGAAACCCTGACAAATGTTTGAAGAAATTAGATACATCCAGAAATATTTTGGGAATAATAGATTATTAAAAGTAATGCTTCAACCCAACACCGCCTTGTCATATGGGAAATATGGAAAGCCAACAGCAAGCGCATTATCATCACTGACACGGTGCTCTGAAAAGTAACCCCCCCTCCCAACCCATCATTTATAAATAAGTGCCTGATTCTAAGCGACTGAAAGTTTTGCTGGGAACTAGTTATTACAAGTTTTTATTCCAGGGGCAGATTTTCAATAGAGCCCATTCACAGAGAAATTTCACAGAATATTAGAACCTTACATTACATTAAGACTTACATGGCAATGAAATCAAACAAAAATCCCACAGTCCAACCCTTCCCTACTTTCTTGGACTAAGAATGTAGGACTTTGTTAATGTTAGGCTGTATTTCTAGGGAAATAAGCCTGTAGTGCTCCTTCCTGAACTGACCCTCAAGGGACAACCAAAGACAGCACTCAAGAATATGGCAGAACTGTTGTCAATCTAGTCATTGTAGAAACTATGTTTTGTAGATCAAGGACATTATCATGATGCAAAGTGATCATTGTAGAAACTCTTTTCTTACCTTCTTATATTAGGACATTATCAGAAGAGTTGGTGGTGTTAGACATTGTACCTGATGAATCAAGCTGCCAACATGAAGTTAACATTTTTAACTGAGGAATGGAGTCAGTCAAACAAAGATGGTTTTTCCATCCTCATTAGACAGCTGGCTATAGAACTGTCTAAACTAGAAAATGTAGAAATTGGTATCTTAATTCCAAATGCCAGTACACAGGATAAAGAAGATACCAAAAAATATAACATAAAGGTTTTTGAACCAGAAAACCTGACAGGATTTGAACCAGTTGATTGTCTGCAGTATCCTCCAGAAGGATTTAGTACAGACTTTATCATTGGTGTTGGCTACAAGCTTGGACGTTATGGGGCTGCTATTCGAAAGAAATTCCATTGTCAGTGGATACATTTTGTAGTCAGAAATGCTGAGGAAGAAGCAATGTTTCAAAATTACCCAGAAGCCATTTCTGAAGGGCAGAAAGAACACACAGTGGAAGTGGAATTGTGTGAAAAGGCTGATCTGGTTGTAACAGTGGGCCATAAACTCAATGAGAGCTTCAAGTCTGCTTTGCGCCATTGTAAGAAAGAAATACTCAATCTCATACCAGGGATTTTTGAGGAATTCATCGATGAGAATCAGGAATTTCGAGATTCAAAGAGGTTTGAAATCTTGGTATTTGGTAGAGGGAATACAGAGGACTTTGAACTTAAAGGTCTTCATGTCGCTGCAGAAGCTGTGGCTCAACTGAATGCAGAGCATGACTTGACAACTTACACTCTAAAAGTTGTTGGTGCACCAGAGGGAAAACAAGAGAAATTAGCTGAGAAGTTAAAAAGTCACATGATTTTACCCAGTCAGTTGATAGTGAGAAGCTTTTACAAAGAAAGAAGAAAATTGGCTCAGCTATTTTCAGAAGTGGATCTTGTTTTGATGCCCTCAGGAACTGAAGCCTTTGGTCTCTCAGCTTTAGAGGCTTTGTCAGCAGGTGTACCAATCCTTGTGACCCATAATTCAGGTTTGGCAGAAGCACTGGAGAAAGTGCCTTTTGGGTCCACTTGCATCGTAGATTCCAATGCTAACTGGGCAGATGCTATTAAGAAAGTATGGAAAAATCTGAAAACGCGATTTCAAGAAGTAGACATGCTTCGTAACAAGTATAAAGCTGAGTACAGTTGGAATGTGCAATGTGCTGCCCTTGTGGAGAAGTTGAAGAGCATGTGTCCAGGTAGGAATTTTATCTGTAGTTTACACCAGGCTATTTATGATGACATGTACACTAAACTGCCACAGCAAAGGTGGAAAAAGAAATGAAAGAAGAAGAGTTGGTCAAACTCACCTGTTTTTTAAAATTACACTAAGGGAAATTCATTTTAACCCTTTATGCCATAACATCAGCATGCACATTCTCCATACTTTTCTCTACACCTTTCCTATAGTACTGACAAGGAGAATTTATTCACCAATCAAGAGCTTCTTGTTTTGCTAACCATTTTCTTTATTCTCACAACCTGACTGTTCCACTCAGCAGTTATATTGTTAGGAGAAATTAGAAGCCAGTCACTCTTAGGGTTAGAGGGTCAAGCTAGTGATGCCTATAATTATTCCGATGAATGTCCTTAAACTTTAAATTCACAGAACATCTGCTTTAAAGTATGTGTTCTTACAGTTTTTTTGAGAGGAAAATCTAAGCAAGGTTCTCAAGATAAAGGGCATTCTCCTTCCTGTGGGCGAAAGCGATCAAGAGTTAATGAACTTCTAGCTTTATCTACGACATTTTTTCTCTCTATTGTTGTCACTATGCTCACAATTTCACTAGGAAAACATTCAAGCTCTTATTGGAAATCATAGTCTATACAGCTTATTGGCTGTATGCTTTGGCTTTTTATTAGGCTGCTGAGGAAAAATTATAGCTGATTGATATGCATCAGAGATGTTCATCACCTCTGGAAATCTGAAATCTGGAAATGTCTTTATTTGCATCCCTGCTCTCTCCTCCCTCATATCTGTTTCTTAATCACTTTTTCCAATTAGTCTCTCCACAAACTCAAGCAGCTGAAATAGATGTACATGATCCAAAACTTTAACCAGAAAAAAATGCATATTATATGAGAATTAAGTATCCTTTGAGTATTCTCTCACTTTTAATGAAACCTCTTTTTCATGTGATGTGTTTTCATTTTCACTCACTCACTAGAATTGGAAAATAAGTGTGATTCCCAAGATGAAAGGGATTCTTCTCCCCTGCCTCTAAAGCAGCCAAAAGGTAACTTTTTGCTATTATCTGTTGAACATTTTCTTTGCCATATCAGAAGGGGTAAATAGAATTGGAAGTGTGAGTCTGCCTGACCTTAACTAAGAATGGAGGAGTAATATTGAACATGGACAACACAATTCAGTAGTGATACTGAAAGCAAAATAGGTGACTGCCCGATATACTGATTTTTTACAATCTTTGAAGATATTAGGTGTGGTTAACAATTGGCACATAAATCAGTAATCTATGAAATATTCCAATGGTTCTTGTGAAATTCTTTGAACATAAGTCTTCAGGAAGTTTTAAATTAAATTCAATGTGCACAGTATTTGCAGGTGAAAATTGGTGGGGATCATTTGAGATTGTAATAACAATAAACAACCCTTTTTTTCTCAACCCTATTTTAGTTCATTTTGACCAGGAGGAGACCAAGAAGGACGACCACAGGAAAATGGAACTGAAGGTGGTTTCCTCAGGACATAGCCCCTCCACAAGTGGAAAAGATAGGGCAGAATCAGGTAAGGCACAGGTAC